CAACCACAATATAAACGTAATTGAACAAGTAGAGAAAAATCAAAGGCGAATCTATATTAAACGTAGTAGAAAATCATCCTCCAATAGGTTCCATCAAACCATAGATTAGAAAGTTTAGCTACTTATAAATATATCAACAATCATCATGAAGTTTAAATATATTAAACTACAAAGTACAGAGATAAACGGAGGAAATTGTCGGTTGATTCTTGCTCCACCGTGCTCTGCAACCTTTTCTTCTCCAAAGATAGTGCCCTACCCTAAATTAACTCATTTGGGAAGTATTTATATGTTAGGGCCAAAATTTCCCAATCCAAATCCGGGTCAGAGTCTTTTAACCCGCGACTTTTAATCACCTAGCTATGGACCTCGCGAAGCCTGGTCTGTAGCGCGGTCAAGCTAGCTATAGATCTCGTGAGGCGTGGTCTATAGCGCAGTCAACCTGGATATAGACCTCGTGAAGCCTGGTTTATATTGCGGTTAACCTGGCTATAGACCTCGCAAAACCTGTCTATAGTGCGATTAACCTGGCTATAGACCTCGTGAAGCCTGGTCTATAGCGCGGTCAACTTGGCCATAGACTTCGCGAAGCCTAGTCTGTAGCACGTTTTGGATACTTGATGCTTTTGCGCTCTTTTCTTGCATTTTTGTCCTTTTTTTGTGTAACTTTCATTCGACTGTTTCTTTCGATGTTCCTACACATAAAAAAAATACAATTTAGCTCAAATCTCGCACCACAAATCTCTAAACCAACAAAATATAGGGCAAGTAATATGCTAAAGGTATAGCATTTTGGCCGAACATCACCACCCCACACTTAAACGTTGCTGGTCCTCGAGTCAACCACCAATTCACACTAACATTGAGCACTTTATTTTCTTTTAGCACATCCGAAGCACACCATACCTATGACTATGGTTGATAGCAACAATTAAACTTTAGCATATGCCTTTAACACACACTTACCTTTACTTTATGCCATACTTCAAAAATTTATTCAACAACAAGACAACATGCTTATAACAATCCTAACCTCACACACCGATTCAATATCATAATGCATTCATGGCTCGAACACTTAACATCATAGAAAAATCTAATAACATCACCTATCCCTTGCGAAATCATGTGCCCTTACAACAAGAATAAGAGAGTAAGTTGAATCCACACATTCAAATCAAATGCTCAAATATATTTCAATGACTCACATATCTCAAAGAAATCCTTCGCTCTCACAAAGAAGTCACATGCCTGCACAAAGTACCATAGATTTTCCCATTATATAAACCTCTACTAATATAGGCTTGCTCGATCTAATATCAATTAGGACTTTTTATGATTATAATGTGGGCTAAAGGACGGGTAGGATATATTTGGAAATAGTGACTGACTCTCCTAAGCTCTTTAACGTATCACAAAATTAACTTAAGCGCATATTTCTTCAACCCAGCTGTAATTTCACAAATAATATCATCCCCAAAGTATTTCGTCTTTCTTTAAGAACTACTTTAATTCATATCCACTAGCAAGAACAAGATATTCTTATTTTTTTTTTGCTGCATATTTTTTTTCTTTTCAACAATACTTTTGGTTTTCCTACTAGTGGTGTGTTCTTTACAATATAAGTGCACCTTTCTTTCATTCATTGGTTCTACTCAAAAGCCACCCAAGTTTTCTCCTTATTTCTTTTAGTGCTCATTTTATAATTAAAGTACTTTAAGAGGTAAAAAGATCAAAACAATGATAATTAAGAGGTAAAAAACTCCCTGATCAATCATCGTCATCGCCTACATCTTCGAAGGCCTCATCTACAGTTGTCCACTCATATCCTCTGCTCCCTCCTCAGCATCAGCATCATCATCCTCTTCGGACTGCTCTGGCTCGGCCTCGGAATACTCTGGCGTGTTGACATCCTCATCCTCTGGGAGTCATTGGCCATCACCAAGCAAAACCAATTGATGGGCATGAGCATTGAGTGATAAACTCTCCTCCAAGATGGTCCTCTCTTCCGTAGTGCCGACCTCCCTCCTATCCTAAGCTGCAAGTCCATCATCCCATAAAAATGGGCCATAAAGCTGTCATCGCGAGCAGTACGCTCGGCACTCCTCCTTCACCCGAATGCTGGTGATGTCCGTCCGTCGGAGGGGCGGTGGAATGACTACATCAAAAGCTCGCTCATTCTCCACATCTTCTTTTCTCAGATACTGAGTCAACATGTTACTGAAGGATAATCTATCAATTCTCTTGCTTGTTCTCACCTGCGCCATCTGGTAGTGTATCAAGTGGCCCATATTCACTTTCTGGCTAGTCATTAGGAAGTACGACATGCATACCCTTTTCACGGCTAATAAGAGTCTCATAGTTGCATGGTATAAGCGTATGTTGATCAATTTCAACCATGCATGAGCTTCCGACTTCATTTTTTTCTTTAGAAATATCCTATGACGTTGGGTCTTCTTGTCACAAACCCAAGCGGCCATAGAATTGACACCACCGAGAGTGTGTCTCAGCGTCAGATATGTAGGACGGGTAATGTAAGACCCTGTAAAATTTTGCATAAGGAATTTAAGGTTTCGTAGTGCCGAAGTAGGCTTACGTGTTTGAGGATTTAAGGAAATTTTTGGGCAGAAAAATGTATTTCTATGGCCCACTATGCGTCCGCAGAATCACTCTGCGGACTGCATAATGGTCGTAGAGTAAGGCAGGAATGGGCAGCTTTGGATGCCATTATGCGGTCGACTGTGCGATCGCATAACAGGTCTGCGGGCCGCATAGTGACCACAGACCCAAGCAGACAACCCCCCAATTTTGGGCACCAAACTTTGCGGCCGATATGCTGACCGCATATTAATTATGCGATCGTAGATCCTGTTCCGGAGCTTCAAATTTGGGTTTTTATAACCCGACCCTATTTCGTTAAATAGACNAGAGAGAGAGAGAGGAAACCATAGGTTAATTGATGTTTTCATCAATCTTTGCTCAAGATTTGGGGAAATTCACAAGGAAAACTCACAAGGCCTTCATCCTAGAGGTAAGATTGTATACCCTAACCCTTCATTTCGAAAGTTAACTAGAAATGGGAAATTAGTAAGATGATTCTTGGGTATGAGAGTTGGTTATTTAGCATGCATGTGTTATCAAAGGGTGTAAGAGGATTGCTGAGCTAAAAATGGTAAAGAATGTATTGTGTGATGATGGAATTCTCCATAAAAGGACCTTGAAACCTTAATGCACACCTAGTGTTTGATAAAATGCTCAAATGAGCTAGAACCATGATCATTTTCCTAATTTTGGTTCAATTTTTTATATTTCTCAAATAGATTGAAGTTGCTAAGAATTCCGGAACATCTTAGAGTTTAAGGAAGCTCCATTGAGGTATGTTGGCTAAACTCTTCTCTTAGGATTAAATCCCACATTATCCTTGAAAGTTTCAAGTTATAAATTATAAAATTTGCTATTCCGAATAAGCTTGTGTTGAAAGATATATGTTCAATATGTATCCTAAAATGCTTCTATCATGTTATGTTATCATTGGGAATATGTTCAAAGTATGGGATGTGCAGTAATAATGTTGCGATTTCAAGTCAAGCTCAAACGAAGGCTATTATGCCAAATTTTGTGAAAAAATCTCTATGTGCCTAAGACTCTTAATTGCTCACATGTGTACTAGAAACATTGATTTGGAATACAGTGTTGTGGATGTTGATGATGATGATGTTTGAAAGTGAAAAAGGTGAGCATGAATTATTAAATATGGCCGACATGCCAATAATGATTTTATAGTTGTGGCAACTAGTGCCAATGATATGAAAAGATGTGAAAGAAGTATGAAATGAGATAATTGGTATAAAAAGGTTGATGTCTCTAATGAGATGGCCTAGCCGATCGAGTCGTGATCGGACTCCGTGTTAAAACTACGGTGGTATTGGTATTGTGAATATTGAAATCGTGAATGGTGGCAATTGGTACTAAAGACCTCCCAACTTAAAATATGATTTTTTTTTTGAGCATTGTCTTGATCTTAATTTGAGGTTTAATGTTGTTTGAGGCTTCACTGATATTATGATTGTACTTGCTAATATTATTTATCATTCTATTGAGAGAGTGCTTTGTCATTCATACTAGTACTATTCCATATGTACGAACGTCCCTTTTGCCGGGGGCACTGTATCTTCAATGGATATAGGTGGTTCCACAGCAGGAAACACTGATCAGTGATAGCGGTACACTCTCTTCCCAGCAGGCTTTGTGAGCCCCACTTTATTTCGGGGTCATGTATCTTTTATTCCTTGTGTATTGTGTTTGAAGTATAGCCGAGGCCTTATTTTTGGCATTATCATAGTGCTCTTCTGTATCTATAGAGGCTCCGTAGACATAGCGTGGGTTGTATATTGGTGCTAGAGAAGTCAAACTAGTTATGTTGTGTTTGAATTACTATTTCCACTTCAGACTATAAAAAATGTGTGTGAAGTTTGAGACTTTAAAATGAAGTAACTAATGGTAAGAAATTGATATTGCAGAAATGATCACTTTATTGTTTGATTAACAAAAATATGTATTTTCTTAATTCATGGATGAGTTTGGGTAGAAATAAATCTAATAGGCTGCCTCCCCGAGTTCGGGGCATGACAGGTAATGAAGTTATCCAGGGGCTCCCAAGTAATTGCATATAGATGATGCAGAAAAGTCAATTAACCTCCCCAGAATATGCACCAGCTTCTCAGGATCATTCGGATCATACCCGACATAAAATTCATGGAAAAGGTTTACATTGATATCCCAGTGTTTCCAAACACGTAGCTCAATCCAAGATCATGAATACCCTTCCAAATTGAGTGATACTTAGCTTTTAGGCGGCACTCATGAATGGCCGACTCAAAGTGTATATGTTTCGGTTGACAAAGCTTGTACCAGTCCTTGGCAAATGTGGGTATACTCTTAAGTCCAAATTCTCATTGTTCCGCCGGCTGTGGGTGTGAGGCTGCTATAGCTTCAACTGCTTATAACCCCTCAACCTGGCTTGAAGTAGCTTCCCATCCTCTCCTCTTTTTTGGCGGAGGTGCGGAGGAAGCCTTAGCTTTGGTGGGAGTAGTGGCTTTGCCCTTGCCTTTACCGTTGTCCTTCTTAGGAGGCATATTCGTACCTACATAAGTTGACATTAGTCACTAGTGAAAGTATTGAATCATTTCAAAACATGGTATTGCGACCCAACACTTAAGAGTTCATCACGTGATCTTCAACAATTTGTGAGGCTACTCAGACTTCACCTCTATATTTTAGCAAGAGAATCAAGCAATGACATAATGATGTCTACTAAAATTGTGATGCATATGGCTACCGGTGAGCCACCCCACACTTAAAATTTCAAGTGGTACAAGGCTACATAGCACTATTATTACAATCCCGTAGACTCGGGCTCCAATGGGGACAAAGAATGCATTTGAGGCATTTTGACAAACACTTAGCATGCACTAGTGCCATGGAAGTGCTTGTAGGAATGAGGGATTATCTCACCCTCCCAAATCGGCTTGGGAATTCTATGCTCCCACTTTTGTACACAACAACAATACCATTCCTATAGGGTTTATAGGGTTAGGACAAACAAGTGCATTGTTACTATGAAGAACAACCCCAAAAGTTATCCAATTTCATTACTTTCCACAATTCGAAATTTGACAAAGAAAGGAGTTAGAAACCATACCTTAGACGCTTATGAGGGGAAATTGCTCTTCAATTGATGTTGCTAGTGAGTGAAGGAGTGGGTAAATTTGGCGGGCAATGGAGTTTGTGTGTGTGTGTTTAACGGAGTTTGTGTTTTTGTTTTGAGATAGGGGTTAAGGCTTGTAGTGTTTTGTTTTAATGAAGTTGTGTGTGTGTGTAGTGTTTTAAACCGGTGGGGATTAAAAAGAAAAAAACAATTCACAACTTACCTGACCTCGCGACAGAACTGTAACGTGAGGCATGCAACGAGCTCAAGTGGGCTATAGGTCGCACGGCGCCAGGCTCAACGCGAGCTCAAGTGCGCTATAGGTCATGCGGCTTCCAGTAGAATCTTATGCATACAAAACATTGGACTGATACCCTTTATGTCTGTAATGGTCCATCCAATTATAGTCTTGCACTCTTGTAGAACCTGCAAAAGTTGTTCTACCTACACATCTACCAAACAGGATGAGATAATAACATGCAATGTCGAACTAGGTCCCAAGAAAGCATACCTAAGGTGGGATGGCAAGGGTTTCAGATCCAACTGTGGTGGCTCTTCGATTGATGGCTTAGCTGGAGGGGTCTTCCTTTTTTCTAAGTGTAAAGGCTCAAATTCGAGCTCTCTTTTCCAGTACCCTTGGACTTCAAGGGACAACACCCACTATGCCAAATTCTTGCCATCTACCTCTTCTAGGTTCATCAGGAAAGCTGGTAGGGGGTCTTTTGCATTCAGTGCCTCGTCTTCCTCCTCCAAAATCACATCCACGGCTTCTATCAGAGAGAGCAGTTAGCAAACTCACTGGGTCGCTGCATAGACTTCTGCACATTGAATGTTATCTCTTCATCATTCAGTCTTATCTTTAGCTCCCTAGTTTCACAATCAATCAGAGCTCTCCAAGTGGCCAAGAATGGCCGCCCCAAAATTATGGGAATCTCCTCGTCAACCCGGAAGTCCAGAATGACAAAATCTGCTGGAAACACAAACTTTCCAACTTGCACAAGTACATCATCAAGTATACCTGATGGCCTCTTCACCGTTCGGTCGACTAGCTGTAGTAACATTGATGTGGGTCTTGCTCTTCCAATGCCTAACCTTTTATAGATAGCTAATGGAATCAAGTTTATGCTTGCCCCCAAATCACATAATGCTTTAGAAAAAGCATAGCTGCCTATTCTGCATGGGATTGTGAAACTCCCTGGGTCGGCTAGCTTCTCAGCTATGGGTCTCGTCATGATAACACTACAGGTCTGAGTTAGAGTAACAGTTGCCAAGTCTTGAAAGTCGAAATTGCGAGACATCAGGTCCTTCATCATTTTTGCATAACCAGGCATCTCCTTCAAGGCATCAATCAGTGGAATGTTCACTTGAATCTGCTTCAGCATTTCCATGAATTTCTTATACTGCTCATCCTTCTGATATCTACAGGAAGGGTACTGGCGGTCGCTTCTTTCCTGTGACTTGAGTTCGATCCTGCTCAGGCACTTTTTTTACTGCCTTCTCTTGCACTTTTTCAGTCTCCTTTGCAACCTCTTTTTCCTTGTTTATTTCCTCCTAGGCTTGTTGGATTCGTACTTCTGTTAATTCAGTTGACTCATCTACTTCAATTGGAACTGGCACGAGTATCTTAGTTGGTCGGCTTTTGTGAACAATTTCTTACTCTAGGTCAAGATCTCTACCATTTCTCAGACTCACCGCCATTAGCTGCTTCGGGACCTGCTCTTTCGAATTGACATGTGTGTCTGCAGGTAAAGTCCATTGGGGGCAATTTTTCAGAGCCATAGATATCTGCCCTAATTGAATCTCAATGCCTTTTATCGCCGAGTCATATGCTTCAACCTTCTCTTGCATTTTTCCATTGGATGCAATCAGTTGTTGCAGTATTCCTTTAATTTCAGACAACCATCATCTTGTCTTACTATCTGTTATTGTTGAGGCTGTTGATAAGCCAGCTGCTGATTTTGCTGATTGTATCCCTGTTGCCTTTGGTAAGGCCCGACTTGACCCTGTGGCCGCATAACTCCAGGATTGTTGTTGTTATTGTACTGTTGTTGTGCTGGTCTATACTACTGATTCTGCTGACCCCAATTCTGACCACCTTGCCTCTGGCCTCCATAATTGCTGACATATTTCATATTCTCTTGGTAGCTTTGATTGTCACTTTCATGTTCACTACTCCATGAACACACATATGGTTGGTTAATGCATAGTGTACATAAGCCGCCATTAGTCGTGTCAACTATCTGTACTTGCTTCTGGCCTGATTCATCAATCTTTTTGGTGAGGATACTCATTTGCGTCATCAGCGTGGCCATATTCTCGGCTATGGGGTTGTTTGGGTCCAAAGCTACTGAGTGAACTACAGAGGTGATTGTAGTGTCTCTTGTCATCCATCCTGAGTTTTGAGCCATTTTATCGAGCATGACCTTACACTCTCTAAATGATTTGCTCAAAAATGCTCTACCTACTGAAGCATCAATGTTGGCCTTCAAGCTATCTGCCAATCCCATGTAAAACCTTTGTCCCAACATCTGATCTGGAATGCCATGATGTGGACACTTAACTAGCATCCCTTTGAACCTTTCCTACGTTTCTTATAGTGTTTCAGTTGGTTTCTGCCTGAAGCTCAATATCTCATCAACTTGCTTGGCAGTTTTATTGGGTGGGTAGAATATTTTCAAAAACTCCTTGACTAATTCCTCCCAAGTGGTGATGGAGTTTGTGGGAAGCGAATTGAGCCAAGTCTGGGCTTCTCCAGTCACCAAGAATGGAAACAATAACAGTCTGATTGCTTCCGGTGTCACATTCGGTTACCTTTGAGTGACACAAATTGATAAAACGTTTTTCAGATGATGCTGTGGATCTTCAATGTATACCCCAAAAAATAGTCCCTTGTTCTGCAGTAGATGTAGCATGTTGTTTGTGATTTGAAATAACTCCGCTTGTATCTGAGGGACTGCAATTGCGGTTGCCAAATTTTCAGCTGTGAGTTGTGCCTAATCATACAAGGCCGCTTTTGGCACAAGAGGTGCCACACCCTGATTGTTCGGGTCATTCCCATTGTTTCTATTGTTTGGGTTGTCTATTACGTCACCCATATCTAGTTCGATTCGTTCTGTTGTCATTTGTCCTTCTTGTTTGCACGATTAAATGCCTTGAAAGCTTTCTCAGGATCAGATAATGCTTCAAACAATTGACCAGTTCTTGAGGAGTTTCTAGGCATGCACCTGTAACACACAAGACTAAAAATATTAGAGTTTCAATATAATGAATTTCAATTCGAGAAATCTGAATAAACTACAAATTCTAACAATTCTGTTCGCCGTAATTAATAACACCGTTAATTCTACGGCAACGACGCCAAAATTTGATCACACCCAACTATGCCTCCTAAGAGGTAAAACGGTCGTTGCAAATATAATATGGTTTACAAGTCCGGTGTCGAATCCCACAAGGAATTAACCTACTAATTACAACGACTAGTTTCGCACGAATTCAAGTATTCAACCTTCAGAAATATTAAATAACTATTTGAATGTTTACAAACTAAGAGCAAAATAATTAAAAAGCAGTAATTTATAACTAATAAAGGTAATGTTGTGGAAAAGATTTGGAAAAGTCTAGGGTTATGATTTTCCCTATTGTCGCAATCCTCCCGGCAACGTTTTCTATAAATTCGCCTAAGTATTCTCCATCGATCGTGATTACTTTGGGTGTCGTAATTCTCTTCCGAGTAACTATCATTATTTACTAGATGTATTCTTTCGAACTACGCTAGCTGGCTCTAATTCACCGCTCACTATGATCGCACCAAGGCTTCGTTATTCCTAATCCCACCTTTAAACCCTCCGTATTGATTCCTCACATACATTAGGAATGATATTTTTCAAAATTACCTAAATATGTTCCATTTCCCAAGCAATACACACTAAATAGGCACAATCGATTGAGAGTTCTTCAATCAAGCATAATATAAACGTAGTTGAACAAGTATAGAAAAATCAAAGGCAAATCTATATTAAACGTAGTAGAAAATCATCGTCCAATAGTTTCCATCAAACCCTAGATTAGAAAGTTTAGCTACCTATAAATACATCAACAATCATCATGAAATTTAAAGACATTAAACTTCAAAGTACAGAGATAAACGAAGGGAATTGTCGGTTGATTCTTGCTCTACTGTGCTCTGCAGCCTTTACTTCTTCAAAGATAGTGTCCCACCCTAGATTAACTCATTTGGGAAATATTTATATGTTAGGGCCAAAATTCCCCAGTCCAAATCCGAGTCGGAGTCTTTTAACCCGAGACTTTTAATCACCTGGCTATAGACCTCGTGAAGCCTAGTCTGTAGCGCAGTCAAGCTGGGTATAGACCTCACGAGGCCTGGTCTATATCGCGGTCAAGCTGGCTATAGACCTCGTGAAGTCTGGTCTATAGCGTGGTCAAGCTAGCTATAGACATCACAAAGCCTGGTCTATAGCGCGGTCAACCTAGCTATAAACCTCGCGAAGCCTGGTCTATAGCGTAGTCAACATGGCTATAGATTTCGTGAAACCTGGTCTGTAGCACGGCTTGGGTACTTGATGCTTGTGCGCTCTTTTCTTACATTTTTGTCCTCTTTTTGTGCAACTTTTATTCAACTATTTCTTTCGATGTTCCTACATATAAAACAACATAATTTACCTCAAATATCGTACCATAAATCACTAAACCAACAAAATATAGGACGAGTAATGTCCTAAAGGTATAACATTTTAACCCAACATCAATCTGTACATGTAGTTAACTCATCTTGCCTTTGATAAGATATCTTTCTCATTTTAATGTTCACCTTAGAATTAATTAATCTCAGGATTACTAACCCACTCAATATGGGATAAAATCGTATGCAATTGTGGAACTAATTAGTCCTGAAATTGCTAATTTCAAATTAAAAATTTAATCAAACACAAAATAAATAATATTGTCCAGAATTATTATTCGTGGTTCCACACGTACCAAATGACCCCTAAGGAACTGTGACAAAGACATTAATTTATGTGAGATTGATTTAACTAAACACTTTTTTTGTTTACATCCTCTTAACTTGGATACATTTGCAGTCCTTATCAATGAAATCGCAATGACCAGAAAGTACAAAAAAAGAGGACGGAGAAAAAAATCAAAACGACAAAAAATGAAAGAAGAAAAAGTAAATTTGTAAACAATGATGTTAATAAAATTTTGAAAATTCTCAAGATTATAAATAAACGTTTTTTTATAGCAGTAATATTAGAACAAGCTGAACTATTTCACCAGTACCACAGACTGATAATTTTACTCGCAAAGACTTAGCAAATGAAAACCAATAGAAGCTCCCATTTGAACATAGATTTTGACTTTTATTTTATCAAAAAAAATTAAAAATATTATTTGTTTATGAAATACGATTATGTTTTGGAAAAAAAACTTCAAAAATCATCAAGTTTCCAAAAACTAATTTAGGATAGTTTTTGGGTAAAATATTTTTTTTAACTCACAAAATTTTAACTTTTTTTCAAATAAAATACGCGTTTAAACACCATTTTAACATTTACAACATAACTTCACAAATATTTTTTCAAGTTTCAATCAAATTTACGTGCTAAGAAAGTCAATTAAACAGAGAAGTCAAGTTTGACGGTTCCACAATAATGTTCAAGACTAAAATAAAGAGGAAATATATATATGTACATAGGAAATGCATATAGTCAGAAATAATAAATATAGTCCATGTTCACATTATCTTCAATGACAACCACCCATACACCCTTAAAAACCCAACCTTCCTTTTTTTCTTTTTCCTTTTTCTCACTTACACACCTAATTTAATTTTCTAAAACAAATTGAAGAAGAAATAATAGAAAGTTCAAAGTAAACATAGGGAAATTAAAGATATTTTTTCTAACTTGAGCTTGTTGGTTCAATTCTTCTCATTTGCGTTCCATGCTTGAGGTCTTCATCATGGTAATAAGCAAATCCACCATGTCGGGTCAGATCCATACCCGCCATCTCATCCTCAGAAGAGATCCGAAGAAGTTTGAACTTATGAAGAATATAGAAAAGTGGACCCATTGTAGCCGTGACCCACCCGAATATCACAAGAATCTGGATTATATGTGCCCCGAGTAGCTTTCCTCCCCCACCCATGAATAACCCGTGAGGTCGACCCGGTCTACCCGGGTAAACTTGATCCACATAGCTTCCCTTAGCAAATAAGGCAGTGAAAATTATACCCCATGCACCACAACCACCATGAAGTTGTGCTGCTTCAAGTGGATCATCATACTTAAATATCTCCGCTAACTTGTTACAACCAATTAAAACTAAAGCCGCCACGAAACCGCAAATGATCGCAGCCCACGGCTCCACCACGGAGCACCCGGCCGTGATTGCTGCAAATCCGCCTAATAGTCCGTTACACACATCCGTCACGTTCCAATGACCCGAAAGAATCCTCTTACCGAAGAGCGTGGTTAGGGCCGCGGTGCAACCCGCTAAGGTGGTGGTCACCGCGGTACGGCCCACAGCGCTCCATTGACCATAATACCCTCCACTTGTACCATAAGTGACTAGAATCTTATTAAATGAACCCGGGTTAAACCCGTACCATCCGAACCACAACAAAAAGGTACCTAGAACCACAAGCGAAGCGCTATGCCCACGGAGCGAAACGGACCGACCCCCATGATCGAACCGCCCGATTCTCGGACCTTCAATAAAAGCCCCATAAAACCCGGCTATCCCACCCACCATATGAACCACACCCGACCCGGCAAAGTCGATAACACCAGACTCGAATAACAAATTTGAATTAGTCGGGCTGGCCCATCCATCCGGGGCCCAAAACCAATGAGAAACAACCGGGTAAACAAAGCCGGTAAGAAAAGAAGAGTAAATCAAATAAGCCACAAACTGAGTCCTCTCGGCTATAGAGCCGCTAGTTATCCCAGCGGCGGCTATAGCAAAAGCCCATTGGTACAGAAAATTACTGTAATCAAAAGAAGTAGAAGGGATCTCCTTAAGCCCAAAGAAGTGACGCCCAATGAAGCCGTTAGACGGCCCGCCCCAAGCGAAAGCGAAGCCGAAAAGATAGTAAAAAAGCCCACCAGCCGCAGCGTCAAGAACATTAGTAAGCATGATGTTCATTGTATTCTTTGCGCGGACAGAGCCCGCGCAGAGCATAGCAAAGCCGAGCTGCATGGAAAAAACAAGGTAAGCCGAGAAGAGGAGATAAGTTGAGTCGATAGCGTAGCCGGTATCAACAAACTTGTTGGATACATCGGAAAATTGGCTACAGATATAAGTGGCGGCGGCTACGGCGTCGGTGGTGTTGGGTCCGAGGAATGGAGCCAGTTGGTTCACT